CTTCTAGTGATGCTCTTGCCTTCATCCTACTTTGAGGTCTCCAGCAGCAGCTTGTGCCAGAACCTGGATGTCTCCAGAGCAAGGACTTAAGTTTGCCGAACGTGTTGCTTGGTCTGTTCAGGGAGGAGTTGGCTTGATCAGAATGAAGATGATCTTTTGTCTTTTTATTCCCTTTTAGCTGGAGTCATGCATCTATTTTAAAATGTGAACTTGCATTCCATTTAGAAACTTTTCCTGTAATTTTGTTATAAGGAGCCATTAACAAATTACAGATCTGGCTAGTTTTCCTGGTTACTGTTATCAGAAGGGAATTAAGTTACAAACTGCTGTTAAACAAACTAACTTCTTTGTCAGAGGGTGCTGAGGCGCTGGCACAGGGTGCCCAGAGAAGCTGTGGCTGCCCCATCCCTGGCAGTGCTCAAGGCCAGGCTGGACACAGGGGCTTGGGACAACCTGCTCTAGTGGAAGGTGTCCCTGCCCATGGCAGGGGTTGGAGCTGGAGGAGCTTTAATGTTCCTTCCAACCCAAACCAGGCTGGGGTTCTGTGACTCTGGCACAGAATAATAAAGGATTTCCTGCAGTTGTATGGGTAGAAACTTTGGAATGGAAGCAGTGTAAAATACAATGATTGTGTAATTTGTTCATCTACATTATATTAACATCCAAATTTCTTAATATAAGCCTCATGAGATTTTCTTCTATACAATGCTGCTACATCAGCTACGCTTATTGAATTCCTGGGTAGCCATGTAATTTGTTGGGGAATTCCTAAATTCATTACTCACCAAGCTTAACATCTGTTCATAAAGGGAAGACAGTAAAGTAATCAATACTTTCATTAGTTTTTGGCAGGCTAAGCATACTACAGTACTTTTTTGCAGATTATGCATACAAAGTAAGGAATTACTCTATATCTAATAGTAAATGAAAGTTTCATTGTATTTCACTGGCCTTTTCATTAGTAGGTTCATTAGCAAGATTCATGCATAGCTGCGTGTATAGGAAAGCCCTCTAATACACCAGCTTTTTTGATAGATCCTAAAATAGGAAAGATTTGTCTTGTGATAAGAGTATCTTAATATGAACTTGAAATGTGGTTCTTTGTTTGCTGATAAATTCCAGAGTAGTGGCACATGCCAGGAGTGATTGCTGAAGATGCTGTTTACCAGTGACCAGAACACTTGCAGTCATGGTTCATTGAGCAATAATTTGACAGAGAAAATAAGGTTATAATCCTTTCAGAAACAAGCTATTGAGCCTCACCAAATGAAGAATTCACTGTGTAGCCAATATGGCTTTGGCAAGCTTTTACTGAGTTATGTAAAGTCTGTGGGTTTTAAATAAATGGGAGAACATTCACTCTGAAATAGCCCTAGCTGTAGGCTGATCTCCTTCCTTTGCTTTCAAAGACTGCATTATGCTCTGACAAACAGATCAATGCTTTCCCCATGTAAATGAACCAGCTCCTAATAACATTCAGTCACCTTGTTTCTGTTGCATCAGAATGATTTCAGCTACTTCTGAAGAAAACATTGTCACTGAACATAGTTTTATTCCATTCATCCACTGAACTCCATCTAAAATGGCAGCAACATAATTTGAATCTTCTAGTTGAGAGGAAAACTCGCCTTGGTTTCCAGAGACCTCTGCTCCCCAGGGGTCACCTGGGTGCCTATGGACTGTTTTAACAGGTTAGTATTTGCTTAGTGCCTTAGCAAGCAGTTTGCCTCCGATTCACGTTGTAACTCCAGCCACTTAACAAACATTTGTCAGGATTTGCTGGAAGGTTCCAGTACTTACAACAGCTTTTGCAGGAAGGTACAAATAGCAGTTCCACAGAGATGTTGGAAGCCAGCAGTGAAGGGTCAAGGGAGGAAGATTCACATTGTAGGCCTGGCCGTGGGGTCTCATGTCCCATCCCAGTCACTGCGTTAGTGACTCTTCTGCTGGGTACATGTTGCAGTTTCTCCTCTAAAGTCAGTTCACAGCTTCCATACTTCACTGCAGGCAATCTGTAGAGGTTGTTGCAGAACTGGGAGCAGTGGTGGACACAAGTCCTGTAAATGCTTGGGTCAGTCTGTGTGTTTTCAAGTTGCTCCCTGGCATTCTCCTGGAATACCGAGCTCTGGGTTACTCTTGCGTGTGATGCAGTGCTCAGGTGCTACCTTTACTTTGTGTGTGGTATCAACACGGGGTGGAGGAGCTGCCGTGTTTTCACTGTGTCTCACAAAGATGGGTTCTCAGCTTGTGTGAAGATAAATGCTGAAAGAGGTGCAAAGCCAGTGACAAACTGGTCTTTGCTGGTCGCTCCTGATGAGTGTCCCAAGGCTGGATCCCAGGATCAGTACGTTCTCACCAGCTCTTGGTGTGAATTCTGCCCCTGATGGAAGAGGGTGCTCAGCCTTCCCAACTGGGGAAGCTGTAAGGCTCTGCTCAGCCTGCTCTAGTGGAAGGTGTCCTGCCTGTGGCAGAGGATTGGAATTGGATGAGCTTTAAGGTCTCTTCCAACCCAGTCCGGTCTGGGATTCTATGGCAATCTCTTCTGCAGAAGAGCATCAATTTGGGAGCTACGGAGCTCATGTGTGTGCTGTGGGCATTAGACAACTGCTTGGGATGGACTGAAAATCAGGCAGGGAAGTACCAGGTTGTAGCCACACGTAGCATGTGGAGGATGTACTTACAAGTATTGTGACTGCTTTGAGATCTGTGGTCCCCTCTCTGTTGTCTTGTGCTGTAGGAGACCTCTGAGGACAAAGCTTCGCAGGTTTTGTGCAGTGTGGCCTGTTACAGTACAACACTTCCTTTCTTGCTGCTGTTCTTGGAACAGGTGAATCCTGGTGAGGGGCTTTGCCTTCCTTTGTACAAGTTAGGAGGTCTGCTGGCTGTCAGGAGGTGAAGGAGCATGGGGCATGGGCAAGCATGATGAAAGCCCCACTCCAAGCAGCGAGGGAGTTGGTTTACTTGTATAATTCTTTTCCTAATGATTTTAACCTATGTGTACAGCTTCTATTTCCTTCTGAGCTCAGAAATAGTGTTTGAAAAGCCCCTTGGTGTAATGGTGATCTGACCTGACGTTTCAGGAGCACACAGTCAGGTCCAGGTTAGTTGGAGCTGCGGTTCCTTCCACCCACACTCACAAGTCTCCCCATGTTATCTTATATTTCTTCTCAGAAAGACATGTACAAATTCAGAGCCTTGGTGTCCTTTGAAGTTATATCAGGCTCATTTCTTGATGTGATTGGATTAAAACTGAAACAAATAAACAACAAAAATCCCCAAACCACCCTAGAACAAAGTGAACAGAAATACTCTGCATCACGAGCCAGCAACCGCTTTGCTGCGGGGCTCCATCCTTGTCTGCATTCGCTGGATGCCAAAGGTAGTTTGCAGAGCTAAGGTGCAGCCTTTAAAACCATATTTCAATTACACTATGGATTTGCTTTCTAAAATAGATAATTCTGTTTCCAAAAGGACACGGTTCTTGCATGCTGCAGTACACCCACATTTATGAATTCCTTTCAGATGTCTGAGCACGGGGTTGCTATGTTCAAAGTCAAAGCTCTTTGGATGGTCCCTCGTTCCTGCAGTCTGTCGTTATGTCTGTGTGCATAAAATCTCCCCGCTTCAAACCCGTGTGCGCTGCTGGATGGTGAATTTGTTCTGAACACGTTTCGTAGCTGACCTTATGTCCTTGTGGGTTTGAGCAAGGCACGTCAGTGCTGTCAGGGGGAATGTGGGTTTCAGAAGCTGCTCTAGTCCGTGTGCCCAAAGAAGGGGGGGCACATGTTTTCTGTAGAAACAGAACTTATTTGGGGCTTGGAAATATGAAATTTACTTTTCATCCTCAGATTTCCAATTTCTCCTTAAATAAATTGGGCTTGGGGGGAGTTTTAGCACATTCTTGCCACTTATTAAAGTAATCTCTGAAACTGGCTTGGAGGCCAATGTCTGAACCTGCACATTTAAATAGTGGCAAACTTGACAATCTGAGATTTGGAGCAATTACATCAAAGCCCTGTGAATCGTTAGTGAAATGTGGAGTCTCCCTGAATAATGAAGCTGCCCTCATCTGTGGATGAACAGCTTCTGGTTGCTAATGTTTGTGTATATGTGCATTATACCACGATGCAGTGCTAACAGGTAGTGCATTAGATCACAGCAATGACAGGAAGTGGTTATTGTTAATATTTCTGGAGATTATCTCTATTTACATTTTGTAATAATGACAGCTTAGGGAAGTTACTCTCATATGCAGAGCTCTTTATACAAACCTCATTTCCATCTCAAGATTAGAATGGAAGGCTAATAATAGTGCAGCAATTCCAGAACAGTTCTACCTAAAATTAGCCCTTCCCATCTAGACTGGGACAGGAATTGCTTGGCATGAAAACCAGAAGTGTTGACTTCACACTAACACATTTTAACTTAAAAATGCTGGAGTGGTTGCCTGCAGTACCAGAATACTGGATGTCCTAAGGAAGGAGTTGGAGTTGTGGGTTAGCCGAAAGTTACAGCTTGAAACTCCACTATGTATATTATGTTCATACTTGAGCAAGATAACACAAGCCACTGTAAGTGAAACTTCTGAACTTTAATACTGCACTGAGAGTTTCGATCTTTTAGCTTTCCTTGGCAATCTGGGATTTTTCTGGATGAAATCCCTGCAAGCATCCTCCAGTAGTGGAAGCACACATAGAAATGAAATGATGTGCATGGGGTGGAGGGAAGAAATACTGGCTGAAAATTAAGGTTTTGAAGATCAGATGCTGTTAATGCTTCACTTCCCTAGAGCAGCTGAAGGGGGGACCACTATGGACTGATTCTGTCATCTGCTGATGTTTGACCTATTGCCCCTATGCTGTTATGCTTCGGAGAATCAGCTAGGTTGGAACAAACCTTTAAGATCATCAAGTCCAGTCCCAGAAGACTGTGGGTTTAGTACACGAGCACTGAATGAAAATGAATTTGAGCTTAAGGTTTCTTTGTTCTGATTTCCTTAGATCTCTGGTGGAAGAGGAGGATCCTCATATGAAAGTGTCTCTTGGCAGCAGCGATATGGGCGTCTCTGCCCATCTGCAGTCTTCAAAGACAGGGACCACGCGGTTTTTCACCAGCAACACTCACAGTTCTGTGGTATTACAGGTATGTAAATATTCTTGTGTCATTGTGGATCTGCAGCAGAATTTGGGCTGCTCTAAACAAAGCCTCCACTCATTAGACCTAAATAGCCTCACAGAAACTGCTTGTTAGGCTGTGCCGGAAATACCCACAAGCAGGCATGGCTTGGAACTTCTCCTCCTGGAGTTAAAGGTTTGACTTTTATCATAGCTTGGAGAATGAAGCTACTTCCCAAGGCCCAGTGTGCTCTGCATTCCCCAGCTATTTCTGGAAAGTAACAATTACTCTGCTTTAGAACTGTAACATGGGAAGTTCAGGTTAGATACAGAAGAAGCTCTTCCCTGTGAGGGTGCTGAGGAGCTGGCACAGGGTGCCCAGAGAAGCTGTGGCTGCCCCATCCCTGGCAGTGTTCAAGGCCAGGTTGGACGTCACATCTGCTCCGTGGCCGCAGGCAGGAGCACCCGTTCCACGCGGAGATGCACAGCTCTTCACACAAGACTCAACTGGAAGTCGACTTCAAGGCCAGGCTGGACACAGGGCCTTGGAGCAACCTGCTCTAGTGGAAGGTGGCCCTGGCCATGGCAGGGGGTTGGAGCTGGATGAGCCTTAAGCTCCCTTCCAGCACAAACCCATCTCTAATTGTCTGATTCTGTGCTTGTTTGCCAATGAATAATTAATTATTGAATACATTAGAGATTATGGTTGTAAGGTGAGAGTATTTCCTAAGTCACTGTTTGGAAATACAGTACATCTGTACATAAAAGTAAATAAGTATTTCCATAAAGGAGACAAAGGAGATTCCTACTCTCCTCCCAGATCGAATGGATCTTTGCATTGTGCTCTTCCTGCAGGGTTTTGACCAGCTGCGGGTGGAAGGTTTGCTTTGTGATGTGACGCTTGTCCCAGGGGATGGTGATGAAGTGTTCCCTGTCCACAGAGCAATGATGGCTTCTGCCAGTGACTACTTCAAGGCCATGTTCACAGGTGGGGTTTTTGTTGAAGTACCACATGCTGCTATCCCCAAATTGTCCAGGCAATGGCACTGAGACATGTTTAGGGTTGTGTGGATCAGCCCAGGACTGCAGGCAGCTCTGTGGGTTGGGTGGCAGATGGGCTTCTAAACAGAAGTTTAAAGTTCTATTTTAATTTTATCTAAGTTGATACACTCAATCAAAATGATCACATCAACCTCCATGTCTTTTTCAGGAGGAATGAAGGAACAGGATTTAATGTGCATTAAGCTTCATGGTGTGAACAAAATAGGCCTAAAGAAGATCATTGATTTCATTTATACTGCAAAACTTTCCCTTAACATGGACAACCTTCAGGACACTCTGGAAGCTGCCAGTTTTTTGCAGATTTTACCTGTTTTGGACTTCTGTAAAGTGTTTCTTATCTCTGGGGTAAGACTAGTTTCACATTTACAATGATTAAAGTCTCAGTATGGTTTTTACAGTTCAAGTTAAATCTAAAACTTGCAGCAATTCACCATTTGGATTCACAGAGAACAAGGTTGCTTTGTAGTTTTCTTGAAAATAGCTGTTCTTCTGAGTCTCATGTACAGTTTGAGTTTGATATAAATTATATCACATTAAAATTCTTTTAATTCCTAAGTGTGATTGCAGTGGTGATAGCAGTGACGATCCTTGTAGTTCCCAGATTCATTACTAGATGCCCTCACGCTTCATGTCCTTCCATAAGAAAGCTACTCAGTGAGTTAAACTAAACAACAATAAAAATAATAGGAGAGTAAGGTGCTGTTGCTCTCTGTTAATGCAATTCTTGAAACCTTTTTGCTTTGAGGAATGAAGCCCTCAATTGTAATGGTCTCTGTGATGATCTTTACGTCTTCTTTGTAAACCAGTGAATTTGCTCACAGTCCTTTAGAATGATGTATCCTCTACAGGGATGTTACAGAAACGTTGGTTATATGAGGGAAGGATCTGCAAGGATTTTATGTTGATTGCCATATTTTGCTATAACTTAAAATGCCTTTGAATGCCTACTGGGAAATACTGTTTCACGATCGCCAAAATAAGTGCTTTTGTAAGCAGGGGATAGCCCCAAAGTGGCAATCCTCTCCTCTTTCCTCTACCAATAATGGGTAGTTAAAGGAATAATACTTACATAGCATGGTTGCTTTCATGCAATAGCAGCAAATAAAAAGCTTGCCCTGCAAAGCTGATTCCTGTCGTTCCAGTATAGTACATTCTGTGGTTTAGAGTTGCCCTGTTCATTTTTATTTATTATAGGGATTAAAATCTTAGGTCCTGACCCTGCTCTTGTGGGATGGGAAGTCACCATCCCAGGAGTGTTCACACACCATGTAGACAAGGCCCTCAGTGCCATGGGTTAGTGGTTGGACTGGATGAGCTTAGAGGTCTTTTCCAATCCAAGTGGTTGTATGACTCTATATATAAGAGCTGTGCTGTCAAAGCAGTTCTGCTTAGAGAAACACTTTGACATTATTGCTGATGCTTCCCAGAGGTTTTCAGATGTTAATTGCTTATACACCTCGCTAGGAATCTTACCTTCCCTGGAACAGGGAAACTGATGTGTTCTACGTGAATTAGAATATTACTTGGAATTCAGCTTTCTGCTAGTCTGTAATGAGAAATAAAGCAGCAGGTATTCCCATTGCTCCTTCTGTGTTGGTGGGGTGCTGTTGCCATAAATGCCAACTTGGAATAAGGTCTCAGCGGTGTTTTGAACCAGGGGTTTGGAGCAGCCTCCTCCTGGGGGGAGTGAGCCCCAGGGACACTACATTGCCCCTTTCCCTCTCTGGGTAGGGCAGCTTGTTCTTGATTTTGTTTTCTTAGGGCAAGAG